AAACGCGTATGGCCTCAAGGACTCCCGCTTTCAACAATCATCGCACCTGCTTCCCTCAGCTTCGTAATCGTGTCTGGAACGCCAACCTGGAGCTTGTCTTCGATGCCAGTAACCCCAACCATCTGAAGCTTGACTTCAATCTGCTCAGCGGCCGCCTGAGGAGTTCGGACATTTACAAATGCCTTTGTTCACTGCAATTCCTTTTGTTCTTCCTTTCTGCCTAAAAGTCCCAAGCCTCCAGTTTTGCATCTCGATCCTCGAGGGCGCACTGCGCTGCATCGTAGGTCTGGAGCCATGCTTGGACCTCTTGCTCCTCCAACCGTCGGCGTCCCAGAACCAACGTCCGCAAACCACTGAGTGAGAAGTTCGTCAAGCTCTGCGTTAGCCAGGCTGGAACATGCTCCGCCCTGTCCATCATCACATTGTCGGCACCTTTCACCAGAAGCCAGGTCTCTCCACTGGCGGTTCGAACCAAAGAGGACATGCGCTTCCTCCACAGGGCTAATCGATTGCTTCCGCTGCTTGCCCTGCACTACCCAACCGCCTCGTGGAATTGAAGGTATTGACACCCAAGATCTTGTATGTCAGCGATTGGCGGTGCATCTCTATCAAGAGGGAATCTGCGGTGCGACTGCAGTAGTGCCTGCAAAGTGATAGACTGATGCATGCGACTTTCACGACTACAGTCTACAATCGAATACACCATGACAGAAAGTCTCAGTTGAGTTGCCATCCCATCTGCTTGGCGCCTTCAACCAGCGCACCTGGCCGGACTCTGTGCGGCAGACCACTCGCAACTCCGCTTGATGCCGCTCGCGACTCACATGCCTCGTAGACTCCACTAAGCTCCATTTCACTTGGCTGCGTGCACACAGCACTGCCTTCGTCTGGACTTTCCGCTTCGTAGCACTGGTTGCCCTTCCTGTCGGTCGTCACCATGACCTAAACTGCCGACAGGACATTGCAGCCAGGGGGAACCACCCTCGAAGGGTCAACCTGAGCTATCGAAGCACAGCGGCAGTGTGTGCGACTGCCAGGATCTCCAGAAATGCGTCGACCTTATCTCGCATCTCACAGTTGTTGGACACGTGTTGAATTCGGCAGCAGCGTCACTTCTCGCTTCTCGATGTCGAAGGCCCGATGCGCAAGTTTACAGCATCCATTAGCAATCTCCAAAAACCCCAAAGCTCCAACATACAACACCCATCGCCACTTCCGTTTCGCCGCCCCTCGCCCCACCCCCAGACCCCACGATCCACTTTCTCTTTGCAAGTTGCAGGGAAATATTCGGGCCCAGTCTTCCTCACACACCGCTCGTGTCTCATCGAAAACGTTCAGCATAAGGGACAGCTCCCCACCACTCCCTTCGGATGCAGTCAACCGGCTGTGACGACGTCGCACACAGTATCACACAGTAAACACTGAGTCTCCACTGTTGCGACAGCTGCAGATGTGTGGGACACGGTGTGTATTTGCATACCTGCCTTGGGGGCAACTAGCCGTGACATGCCGATGTGATGCAATGCTTGGGACTGCTACGGGTAATAACCAGAGCGCCGAAAAGGGCGTATCAGAGTCGATAGATGGAACTGCTACTTCACACACCTAAGCCATGTGTTGATTGTCTGCTGCATGTTCCTTTGGGCAGCTGAAATGAATGTGTGTGCGCGAGCGTGCCTGTACTTGTGATGCGTGTGTGTGTGTGTGTGCCTATGTACATGTACATGTAGACATGTCTACATGTGTATGACTATGATGTATGTCTAGGTACGCACGTACGTACATACATATGAATGCCAGAACGAAGAAGCTTCTCAGCACACTTGGCATTCGCTGAGCATCATGCGTGCTTCTGATTGCCCATCTGCCGCCAGCGGTGAACGCCATCAACATCTGAGAAGCCCGGCTCTTCTGTTACCTCGCCAAACACCTGCGAGGGAGTGTTTGAGCCGGCGCATCTAACCAGCCTGCGCCTCCTTAGCCGCTACATGCAGAATGAACAGGGTTCAGAAAAAAACATGGCGAGGGCATGCCTGGCCCGAGATCGAAACACCTTGGCTCTCTGCTGATAGCAGTTGACAGGTTTTACGATGTGCCGTGCCGAAGCGCCAGGTATGAGCGGAGCCAGGAAGCATTTGAAACGAAACCGCTCGGCCGCTCAAGAATCTGACAAGGTGCGCTTAAGCTCCATCACGTTCTGCGTCAGCGTTCCCGTCTTATCCTCGGGTCTCTGAGCAGGAGCCTGCGTTGCACTTAGCCCCGACAGCCTTCGGCCCTCCGGTTCCTCCAGGAGCGCGAGAGAAAATGCAGCTATGACTCTGAAAAGATGTAGGAAATTTGTCCCAGCTCGTGGCACAGGTTCGTTGACCGAACCGCCGCAGGACAATCCTGCACACTCCAGCGATCAGGCCGCAGGGAGCAGTCTTTGAAACTGTCACTGGCATACCTCGCCTGCTCTTCGTCGTACATCAAAAGGTCGCTCTTTACGAAGAATGCTTGTGCGTAGTTGCAGATCTCCATTGTTGCATACAGCGAAATGGGCATCAAATTCGAATACAGAATGAAAAACTTGAACCAGTTCGCCACAAATCGAGAAGCAACTCCTTCTGTCACCCAGGTTCCGGAGGGATACAAATACCAAGAGGTTCGAAACCGATACTCGGTCGAGACGTAGAGAATCGAACTGAGACTGGACAACAGCGCTTGTGCACCCAAGACCACCAGCATCGCCCTGTTGACAACCCGCTCCAGATTCGCCATTTTCGTGGGAATGTCACGAGAATTCATCACCATCCTTGTATGCGGTCCCGTGTAGACGACAGAGCCAAAGAGCCAGGCAGTGTTGCGCAGCCGGGTGCCCCGCAGTAGCAAACTGCTGGCAGACCTTTACAAGTCTAGGATGTGGGATCTCCGGTGACGCATACTCTCCGGTCGCAGCCGAGTTGCAGGGAGGAAGTAGACTCAACACCGCTATGATTGATTTTCAAGGATCCAGAGAACTTTGTGATGGACTTGCTCGGTGCCTTGGCTCTGGGCTTCCTGAGGATCGACGGGTCCCGTCGGTCGCCTCTTGCATCTTGGAAGCCTCGACGCTAAGGGCGGCATCCAACACGGCCAGTTTCTCCACGGCCTGACAAGACAATGGCTATCCGAATCGGTCAGGCGCTGGCAAGGTGCTCAGTTTCTGTGAAAGGCAGCGGCAGCAGGTAATGAAATGAAGAAGCCATCTTCCATGTTCCTCCGGCCTGATCCAACAGTGGGGGTCCATGGGCATGGCCCTCACCTTAGTGGCTCGAGGCCAGCCCTCTTCTCGAAGCAGCCAGCATGCCAGCATGACTGGTTGGTCTTCACGGCTGGTGGTGGCAAGCACTGAATCATTTCACTTATCGCATTAGTCTATGCTTCTCTCACTTACATGGAACTCGCAGCACACAGGGTGCAGCTCCCTCAACCAAAGTTTCACTTCAAGCGACAGAGAAAGGCCTGGGCTTCGGTGGCGCATGCCTTGATCTTCAGATTGGTCTCACCATCCAGGTTTGCCTGGGTAGCTGAACACTGTTGCTGCCGCCTCCCTTGCCAGGAGCTGACGGCAGCTGAGTACTCCGAATGGCCAAACCAAGCGAGGCTTCTTCGGAACAGAAAGATGTACATGCAGACCACATCGTACAAATGCTGGCTTGCGGCAGCAGTGCAGTCACGGCACAGTCGACACGTAACACTGGCCGTCGCTGCCAGAACACGCCAATGGGACGATGTCGGCCGGAAGCTCTTCGTCACCTGCATACACAGCGGACAGCCGCTGGACAACAACTGCCTTTAAATTGCCTGCCGATGTACTGGGGATTACACCCATCATGGAGAAGCTTTGGGGTATCACCTCCACTACCACCAACTGCGACACATTGCAATACAGTATGCAACGTGCCTCACATGAATCCTTTGAGACCCTTGCACCTTTTGATCGGTTGTAGCATATTAATCCTTGCCGGATTTTGCAGGCTCCGGAGCACAGCTGGATCTAACGATGTCTTTGCCAAGCACGAGAAGATACATTATATGTTCGTCGAAACTCTACCGGGCTAAGGCCACGAGAGTGGCGGGCGGCCCGATCTAAGGTTGCGGGGCAAAGAACTCTGCTTGCTTTGGGGCGTTTTATGACGATGCTACTCATCCGACAAAGTGACTCTTCAGCACGATGACATCCCCAACGTGGATGTTCTTCCACAGAACGGTGTCCAGGTAAACCCCGTATTTCCCACCCAGTCGGATGACTCTGGCTTGCTGTGAATTGATCTGACGATCCGACTGGTGCCGCCGCAAGTCATCCAATCCGGAGATGATCATACTCAAGCCCATCATCGGAATTAAAACTGCTGCCGTTGACCACCATGACACGGTTGAGTCAATGAACGTACTGTGCTCACCCACGTACATCAAAAGTGTGATAAATGTAAAATACAAGTTTGCTCTCTTCTGGAATTGCTCGAAGGTCACCAGCGGAAGAAATGACCACCATCTGTACTTCGAGGTGGAGATGGTGTTCCCAGGATACGATGCGCTCGAGCTCTTGTCGGACGATGCGCCGAGCGGAATAATCCGTTCACAACCACTGTTCTCATCGTTCTGTCTCTTCTTCCTCGGCATGATTCAGGCCTGCAGTTTCTCCACAATTCCTTGTGCTCAAGATTTTGCCCGTGGACGCAAAGGCCCGCGGAACCAACAAAAGCCATCCTGCTGCTGTCTGATGAGTAGACTACTTGGAGCTCATCGGGCATATGTCGAGGAGTTTGCTTCCATGAGATCTGCAGCGTGGATTTGTGAGTGTCTGTGAGTGGGAGTGGGTTCCGTCCTTTTGCTGTGCCGACGACGCGACGGCTGTCGCCAAAGTACGGCTGCTCTGAGTCGGCTGCAAGAGCTGAGCCAAAATGGGCAGATCGGAGGCTAATCATCCACAACAGCGACAAGCACGATCAGAAACTCTCGTTCGTGACATCGGTTTTTCACTTCGGCGGTCGGGAGCCGAAAATGAGAGAACCTGCACGGAGGGAACAAATCAGCGCTTTCTTCTTGCGTGCGTTGCCACCACTGCCACCTGGCCTACTCGCACTGAGGTGGCGCCCTTGCGGATGGCCTGTGTCGCCACCCCGACTCAGACATGACCGCAAACTTACCGGCTCTTGCGCAGTCCCACGGCCTCTTGAAAGTCTCCTGACATCCCCATGCTCAGACCCAACTCCTTGTCGGGCACCTGCACCACATGTCTACGATTTGTACCACCCAAGCTCCTTGCATCAGGCGACCAACATGGCTAAGATCGCTGCGCCCAAAGCCGCCGCCACCGCACTGCGTGCCGCGTGGAGCCGATCAAAGGCCCCTTGCATGGACAAACTCGCAAGCGCAGAATTGAAACGTTTATGGTTGATACGAGTGAACACGATGTGGCCCACGGAAGATGACCCCCGAAGCTGCTTCGATGATGCCAACTCCGTACCATGGATTTACGCAAGGCTGAGGGTAGTGGGTAAAGGAATACACGTTGGTCGGCGTCGTCGGAGTATGAGTATGATGCGAATAGCGTCATCAGCAAGTAGCGTCAGCGGCAGATGCAGCCGTAGCGGTACGTGCTGCTGGTGGTGCTGGTGGTGGTGGTGGTGGCGGTAGTAGTGATGGTGGCGGTAGTAGTAGTCGTAGTAGTAGTAGTAGTAGTAGTAGCAGTAGTAGCAGCAGTAGTAGCAGTAGTAGCAGTAAAAGCAGTAGTAGCAGTAGTAGCAGCAGTAGCAGCAGTAGCAGTAGGAGCAGTAGTAGCAGCAGCAGTAGCAGTAGCAGTAGCAGTAGCAGTAGCAGTAGCAGTAGCCGTAGCCGTAGCCGTAGCCGTAGCCGCAGCCGCAGCCGCAGCCGCAGCAGTAGCAGTAGCAGTAGCAGTAGCAGTAGCAGTAGCAGTAGCAGTAGCAGTAGCAGTAGCAGTAGCAGTAGCAGTAGCAGTAGCAGTAGTAGTAGTAGTTGTAGTAGTAGTAGTAGTAGCAGTAGTAGTAGTAGTAGTAGTAGTAGTAGTAGTCGTGGTGGTGGTGGTGGTGGTGGTAGCAGTGGTAGTGGTAGTGGTAACAGCGGTAGTAGCGGTAGTAGCGGTAGTGGTGGTAGTGGCAGTAGTCGCGGGTAGCAGTAGTCGCGGTAGTAGCGGTAGTAGCGGTGGTAGTGGTAGCAGTGAGCAGTTAGCAGTGAGCAGTGAGCAGTGGCAGAGTATGAGTAGCAGGAGTAGGAGTAGCAGTAGGAGCAGTAGTAGCAGTCGGAACAGGAGTAGCAGTAGGAGTAGGAGTAGGACTAGGACCAGGGGTAGGCGTACGGGTAGGAAAGTAATAGGAGAGTAGGAGAGTGGGAGAGTAGGAGAGTAAGAGTGGGAGGAGGAGGAGTGGGATGAGTAGGAGTTGCAGTAGGAGTAGGAGTAGCAGCAGGAGTAGGAGCAGGAGCAGGAGTAAGAGTAAGAGCACGAGGAGGAGGAGGAGGAGGAGGAGGAGGAGTAGTTGGAGTAGGAGTCGGAGTCGTCGCAGTAGGACGAGGCGAAACGGAGGGGGATGAGAGGGAGGAGGTGGAGGAGCAGGAGGAAGAGGAGCAGTAGTGGTAGTCGCGGCGGCAATGTTGGTAATGGTCGTCGTTGTCATCGAGTAGAAGAAGATGCCAGCGTGCTCCCGTGCAACCAGACACCCAAATGATTTGGTTCGCGGCTGACCCGAAGAACCAAGAGTAGCAGTTGCAGTCTCAGCCCTGCAACATAAAGGGCAGACATGTGGATGGTTTTGCTCAGAGGCAAGGCCTCAGTTGACAGCACAAGTTGCAGTCGTTTGCATGGCAACTGCACTTCAAAATAGGTCTTGGGTAAGGTCTGGGAAACCAAAAGTCTTCGGGAACATGAAAGGATTCAGGATGGCATGAGCTGGTCCTTCAAGTCTCAGTGCAGTCACTGTTCGTGGTTTTCCGTGCTTTTTGTGGTGGTGGTAGTAGTGGTAGTGGGATTGGTAGGGAAGTGATCGTGGCGGTGGTGGCTGTGCTGGTGGTGGTCGCAGCAGCAGCAGCTACTAGCAGCAGTACAGTAGCATAAGTAGTCCCAGTAGACAGCTTGGCTTCGTAGGAACGGTATTATCACACCCCCTCAGCGCCGACCAAGGAATGTGTTATGCGAGGAGTGCTTGGGAGCATGCTGGCGCCTATAGACATAATTGGAGCATGTAGGCCTAGCAGTAGCATCAGTGGCAGCAGTATCTCCAGCAGCATGCAGCAGCACTCGAGATAGTGAGATTGCTGTTACTCCACTGCTGTTGCTTCTGCTTAACCGGCTGCATCCCAGCGCACCCATGTCGCCAGGGGCACCGATTGTCATCAGCCCAGCCTTTGAAGCAAGCTCTCAACCGCTGTAGATTTCGGACGTAAGCTTTTCAGCAACGCTGACATCGGACAGGTTGTAACCGCATCTCTGCTTCTCTAGACTTGGGATCCGTGCCTAGCCGGGGAGACAACGGTATGCTTAATCTGGATAAGAAACTGAAGCTGCTAGAAAACATTCATGTCCGACATCGGTAGCACAAGCATATTCGCTCGGTCAGCGCGCTTCGGCTCAGGGCATTAACAAGCGTGGATGCGGTGTGTAGCCGCAAAGCACGAAAAACGGTACATCGCCTAATGTTTGACTCGTGGAAGGTCAACACAGTCTGTTTACGACAGCAACATGTCGCCGGGATGGATTTACAATTTCAGATCTTCGAGCCTTATTGCCTGAAAACGGTGGTGTGCTCTATTAGCCGGTGTCCGAGTAGCCAGTCGCACGGATCTTCCGCACGCTGCGATGTGGGATGCCAGGTTGGGTGCGTCGCTCGGCTGAACACCACCTGCTCCGGAGAACTTTTTATCGCCTGTGCCTATATGAATGTATGTATGGATGGATGGACGGATGTACGTATCCATGCAAGCATGCATGTATGATAGTTGTAAGGATGTAAGGATGTAAGGGTGTGAGTATGTGTGCATGTGTGCACGTATGTATGCATGCATGCATGTATGTAGGTGTGAGTGTGTGTATGTATGTATGTATGTATGCATGTATGTATAGATACATGTACGTATATGTATGCATGTACCTAGATACATGTGTGTATGTATGTATATATGTAGTTGTATGTAAACTTATGTGTATATATATATACAAATACACACGGATGTATGTGCATATATCTACACATACACACATATGTATATATATATATATATATGCTACCCCCCCCCCCCCCCCCCGCTAAGACCCGCAAGAACTAGTAAAAGATCCTGATAATTCACTCCAGCATTCCTACATGTGCTATCCACGCGTGTGCAAAATACGGTGTAGACAAGATAGTCTAGTGAAGTATTGCTGTTATCTGCTTCATAACTAGATTTATATATATTCTTATAAATATTTGAACAATTTGATACAGCATTACTGCAAATAATGTTCGGAAATTACGCAAAACACAATATAAGCAAGATAATCTAGTGAAGTATTGTTTGGTTGTCTGCCCTGGAGCAAGAAATGTAAATATTCTTACAAAACTTTAGACAATTTGATACAGTACTAGTACAATTGCTATTAGGAATTACGCAGAACACAATATATCTAAGATAATCTAGCGAAGTATTAACACGGCATCCTACATGTATTTGTTTGATATAATTCTGCTCATAGCAGGTGGGAGCCCACCTTCCCAACTTCTCCAATTTCTTCACCTATATCATAATTTGAGCCACCATAAAATTAAACGTTGTTTTCCGTGCTGGCCAATATTTCAGACTAAGACTAAGAGCCACTATATTCAATTTTCCCCTTCCTTACTGCCATATTATAAGAACTGATTGCTTCGTTGGAAGTTCCGCAAAACGTATTTCCGCAATTATTGTTTGTATGAGCCAGCCAAACAGGAACAGATAACCAAACAAACTCCGGAGAAAACATCGAAGAGGAAAAGGAGTGTTTCTAATTGGCACACAGACAGACAAATTTCAATTTCCATCGTAAGCCCTAAGCCCTAAAGACCCTAGACCCTAAACCCTGAACCCTAAGCCCTAAGCCCTAGTCCCGAACTGGGTGTAGGTTCCAGGTCCCCTTGAACGAACCTAGCTGTTGATTAACTGACTCATTGCACAATCTGACATGATTTGTATGAGAAGTCTGCTGTCTTCTAGAACCATTGACAAGCTAATTTCCCTACATCGGCTTAATCCTTTCCCGTTGTAGGAAGTCACCCCTGAGAATTGAAATTAGTATTGGGCCCGGCGTGCAGAACATTAAGCGGGATTTGGGTTCGGCCTGTTTTGCAGCCCACGAACCCTGAAATTCTACATGTCTGTGGCCTGCGGCCTGCAAGTCACCGCAGCACTACATTCTCGAAACCAAGGCTGCCCGTAATCCTCTAGCTCCTAGCATTACCTGCTCCCACATTATTACGAGTATTGGCGTCAGATATTACCATCGTTGCCAACGCTCAGAGCATTTCGTTTAGCTTGAGTGGTGGTATGAGTACTAGTAATCCGTAGTAGATTTCTCTGCTGGCCACTGATATCACCAGTCCCTCGTCCTGGCTCGTAGTATTCAATGTAATTATCCGTGATAATACTCGCAAAGTCGCTGGCGTGCTACATGGGTTAGTTCAAGCAGGGGCCAAGAAACTCGTTCAGTTTACTGTCATAACTTCCATCATGAACAAAATTAAGAAAGCAAGGATATACCACTAACAAATATTGCCAGTAAGTTGATTAGGTGGCTGGTTTAATCAACGTTTTTGTGCATACATAATACTGTGACATACACTGTGTAAGCACCTGGAATTAGCTAATTCTCTACATTACCATGGTCTGGTCATGTTTCAATCACGGGACAAGTGCACCCATTCACCAACCCATATGTTTTCAATTGCTTGCCTCTGGCATAGGGCTGTCAGAATGCAAAAGGTGAAAAACAATTACTCGGCTTGGCAGCAAGTAGACTAAATGTGTGCTTAAACCGTTTGAAATGGCTAGCTCCTTATCTTGATATAAGCAGAAAATTTAACCGACATGCATTTAGATACGCCCGCATGCAGATTAGAGGCTTCATTTTGGCAATGATAGTGGGTTCCTACACATGAGTTGGACTGATGAATGGCCAAAAAACAACTAGTCTGGCACATGACAAATGAAAATGAAGATCTAAGCACAACACTATAGAATGGGATGTTTACTTAATTAGTATTTCAAGTATGTAACCTGACTAACCACCGGGATGCAGAAGCCACAAAAAGCTTTCACATAGGTTAACTTTTTGAATGATGCCGTTATTTGGATTTATGTTGAAAAGAAGCAAACAGGGTCTTTACACACACACCGGAACAACAAATTTTTCTTGCCTTGGCACTACCAGATTCCTTTATGCGCACATGTATCAGCCTCTGTGCTTGAGACAGAAACGAAATCTGGATGTCATGATGTTTCACAGGTTGGCACAAAGTCGCAGGTTTTCAAATTCGCGAATTCGCAGATTCGCAGATTTGCAGATTCGCAGATTTGCAGATTCGCAGATTCGCAGATTGTATAGCCTTTGCGATTTGGTAATCTGCGAATCTGCGAATCTGCGAATCTGCGAATCCGCGAATCTGCGAATCTGGGAATCTGCGAATCCGCGAATCTGCGAATCTGCGAATCCGCAAATCCGCAAATCCGCTGAAGTATCCGTCACAGCGAGGCCCTTTGAGCATCAGATACTTACACGTCGCGTCGCGAATCCCTCAAATTGAGAAGCCCTGAAAGACCCTGAACGTTATTGCAGCTGCATCCATGCCCCGATGAAGTTGGGCAAGTCGAGACTACCTGACAGCAAAGCGTGGGTTTTGGGGGGGGTACTATATATATATATATATACACGTATATATATATATGTACATATGTACTGCATGTCTGTATTTGTTTACTTATAAGCTTGCCAACATACATGTATGAGTGTGTGCATGCATGTGCGTGTGCATGCATACGAAAAAAAGCTTCCAGGTTGTAGATTGCTATGTAAACACGAACATGCATACTTACTCAAGGAATTGTCTGCCTATCCAGGTACATATATGCAACATGGTACATCTATCTACCTATACATATATCGACCGAGACAACTATAAACCTATGCGTGCAATGTGTGTGTATGATCGGGTGCAAACAGAGGTCTATGCATGTATATGCATCCTTCTTTGGGTGCAAAGTACATGGGTGCATAGATAAAACAACATATATGAGACATAAATATGTATATACATATATGTATTCATTTATACACACATACACATACATGTGTACTTATACAGACCGCTGTCATGTTATTGTTCTCATTAATGTTGGGTTCCAGGAGTGAACGCGGCCTCTGTGTTTTAGCAGGTGATGCATCGAGCCACGTGGAATGAACAAATCATGTTTCAGATAGAGAGCTAGCTATAACCAACGGAAAAACAAACGATCATGTAAATGCACGAACGGAGACCAGGTGTTTTAATGTTTTCATAGTGCGGACAGAAAGATGAGTATGCAGTCGTGCGGAAAATGCATGTTACAAGTTGCTGGCAAAAGATGGCAAGTGCAAAGCATTTGTTTAGAGCAGCCCAAGCAGAAGATGCTGACTGAATCAGATGACGCTATCAGGCAACTTGGAAACGACGTACGACATCGCGCGCGAGCACTGTGATGATGCTGCCGTGATCAAAAGAATGTTGGCCGTTCGCTGTGAGCAAGTTGCGGGCTTGGTACTCATCTATGAGCAAGCGCCTTTTTGGCGATCTGAATGAACTGGTAAGACCCCGGACATTCGCCGACAGATCCACCGTTTAATTACGGACCACTTGCACTCAATCGCGTTTGTAGACAAGCCATTGGAATCAATAACAATAATCTCTCCGTGACTGTGGTTGACTATCTCATGGCGAACATCCACTTCAAAAAGTTCTTGACGTTCTTGTAGGAGCTGAATGCCGAGACGGGGGCCTTCCACTTGTAGGAAACAAAGATATCTCCCCGCCTCAATCCCAATGTCTGGAGGTTCTTAAGCATCTCTTTATGGCCGCGTGGTTTGCCGTCACACGCATCGTCAGGGTGGTCCACGATCCTGAAGATGAAATGGGTCTTGATGTGTCCATGGAGCACAGCTCCCCAGAGCCATTGATCTCGCTGCGGCGACCCGTGCGGAAGAGAGCGTTACGCCTGCGTTTGTTCAAGTGCGTCTCGTCAGCGATGAAGATACGAGCCTTTTTCTGCGAACTTGATATGCATTTTGTTCATACTCGGTCGCTTCAGAGTAACCGAAGATGCGGAAGGTTTCTTCAAAAAGTTCTTGCTCGAAGATGTTGATGGTCGTTTGTATGACTTAGAAGCAGGTTTTCTTGTAGAAGATGCACGATGAAGACGCTGGAAAAGTGGACCGTCGAACCTTTGATGGAGTTGTAGTTGGCCAAACATCAACTCGTTTGTGGTCAGCGGTATGTAACTCGCGAAGCATCTGTTGTCGAGGATATTCATGATATTCGAAGATCCACATCATGAAAGCTTCCATCTTAAGCATCCACATGTGTTGCTTCACGTGGTAACCCAATTATGCAAGCCTGAGGCTGTTGACTGAGACACTCTGGACAGCCTTGGCTTTCATACCAAGCCCCGATCCAGAGATAGCGTCCAGCCTGGAAGCATAGCCTGTAAGGCATCTGACAACTTGGACAAGCACGATCAAGAGGTATGAGATGTACAGCCTGGGCTCCGCGCAATGCTCGAGTAGCCAAGCTACCTTGAAGGCCACCGAAATCACGAACATGACTGTACTTCACGATGTCAAACAACTGGGTCCGATTGG